TTTTTTTGCCATCTCTATGAAGCCACCTAAGCGTTGGTTTCTCTTAAAACCTCAATTTAATTGAGGTTATTTCGTTTTGCATACAAACTCAACTGACATCAAAAAAGACTTGGCCGTGACCTTGAAAACGTAGTCCATTTTGGGTGCTGCGTTTCGCCATGCACGATGCACAGAGACGGCAGTAACTACTCTGCGGGCGATAAATAATTATCGATGACGTCACTGCCCACGCACAGATAAACAGAGAGCACCTTTTGGCCCACAAGCAGAAAAGCAGAAGAGAGCGAAAAAGAAGAGACCGAGCGAGCGGCATGCGTGGCGCACTCTCATTTCATTTACTCTTATTTCACATTTAATATAGACTTACATCAAAATCTGCCATTTTTCACACACTTGCTGAATGCTTGTTACTTTCTATTACGTATTGGCAATTGAAATTATTCTAAATATTCAACTTGACCGACTAATAGGAATGAATAGCAAAGCGTTTGATCAACCGCTTGCCGCCGCGCACAATTTACAATTGAAATGAAGTCGAAGCGGGGAGTCAACACGAGGCCTAGGTGCCGAGTCAGCACGCGTATGCGAACAGTGTATTTGAAAAGTAAATGGCCAAGCTAAGCACTGTCAGCCAGACTATTTCTCTTAAACTAAAATAAAATACAAATGCTTGCAAATCCTTAACTCTAGGTTATTTTATGCATATACTTAATATTTTAATATTTATATTTAAGTATTAAATGAATATTTCAAAAATTTTAGTCTAACACATATGTACATTCAGTACTCTCGTCAAGCGTTCAGCATCGTAACGATGATATGAAATAATGTGTGAGCCTCACACTGTGAGAGTGAGAACGAGAGATATCAAATGTCAAGCGAGTGACAAAGAGAGAGCGGTCGCTGCTGTTCAAAGAGAAACTTTGCTAATTCAAACAGCTGATGTGTTTGTTAATATGCCGACTGTGACGTAGTCTCAAACTTATATAAATTTAAGCACTTGTCCATTGTGAAAACTAGAGATGAACCATATGGCGATTATTCATTCACTCACAGTCAAAACTGTTACGTTATTCTGTCTCAATAATGGAAATATTGCGCAACTCAATGAAGAACGACAAACAGATTAAGCTCAAAGGTCTCTCTAGCAGAGAGAGGTCTAATGCAATTAGCTGAGTGCAGAGCCAAAGCTCAATGGCTCCTTGAGATATTAAAATTCCATCAAGCTGTTTCAAATACGTCGTATAAATAACATTATTAACAGCATGACGTCATTTGAGCAAGTGTGCGCCAAATGCGACAGCCAACGACTCTATGATTGTTGTTATAAATACCTATGTAGTATATCCGCATATTCTTTGCATTCCTCGGGTGGGAGATGCCAAATGGCAAAAGCATATTTTAGATACATACAGTTCATACATATTAATGTATATTTTTAAGAATTATGACATAGACTAGCTGAAGGCGAAGTGCGTACGTGATGAGAAGTATAAGAGGACACCGAGTCCGAGGAGTACCGAGAATTATGCAAAAGCTATACTGCAACATGTTTCGTAACTTACATTGGTCTCAATTAAACGCGCCATATCCAAAGGACTGGAGACACTGCTGGAACTCAAGAATTGCCGGTTGGAAAATCAATCAATGAATGCACTTTTTGGATAAATATTATATAATTCCTTTATCGTAGCGATGGAGCATCACGCACTGCTGCTGGTGGTGCACACGGACAGAAGTTTTATTTTAAAACGCAACGCAGGCCCAACGCGAATGCAAACGCGAGCGTGTGGAGATAGTGAAAGCAATTGTTTTGTTTGACCACGAAACGTTCGCTCTCTTAATCTCTCGCGCAAGTTCGCGTTCCACACTCCTTCATTTCTCTTTGTTAGCTCCTGGTTTTGACCAGCATCAACAGCGAATCCCACTTTTTAATGTTTATCACAATGTATTCAGTTAGTGTGTAGCTGCGTCATTTGAAGCTAAACAATGCGCATATAAGGCATATAAATTTCAAGATTATTCAAAACTAGATGCTGAACAGCTGAACTTGGTCAAGAACTTGTTTGTGGATTATAAATACAAATGCAAGAGTATAGCGTTGCCACTGTGTAGTCTGTGTGTTCCATATGTTAACGATAAGTAGTAACGATTAATATCACGGCAGCTCTGGTCAAAAGGTAATCGATATTGAAAACTTGAATCGTCGCCGCTCATCTCTTTCTTTCGTGTATTGCACGTTGCAAAGTGTAGACATGGCGTAAGTAATATTGCTCGAAAATCTTTAAATATAAATTGCATCTTAAATATTTTAATGAATATAATGCCGCATTTTGATAAATTATCTGCTGCTTTATATATTCTACAATATATTTATTGTGTCCTGCAATCAGAAACCAGCTTTTTGGACCACTTTCAATGACCATATCAGTTTGGAAATGATTGCAATAATAAAATTGAGATTTTGTGCCAAATATGTGACTAATCATGCAAGTGATAATAATTTGCACAATGCTTGTACATTATTTTACATAAAATAGTGAAATGAATCGCTGATCTAACTGAAATTTCTATTGCAGAACAAAGGTGTCTCGTGACACGCTCCTTGAGGGCGTCAATGGAGTTCTTGAGCATTCGTTAAAGAAGAAGCGCAACTTTCTGGAGACGGTGGAGCTTCAAATTGGTCTGAAGAACTACGATCCCCAAAAGGACAAGCGTTTCTCTGGCACTGTTAAGTACGTTGGCTAAAATCACCTGCGCTGCTAACCAAATCCAAATCTGGAAGGCTTCAGCGTCAGGTAGTCGCATGTGTGCCCTCTTCCACACACACACAGCGGCGGACCTGCACTCAGGGTCTTTAAATCTAATTGAGTAGGCGCCAGCAATGGCTGCCGTTTTCATAGTTTAATAGATAATAAACTGTCCTGCTCCTCTGTGAGCTGCGTAAGTTTTTTGTTTAAATGAGAATTGAGCAAATTTACCTCTATTTAACCAATTAGTATGAAGTGATTTTCCTAATCGTTTCTCTTTACTCATCTTGCAGATTGAAGCACATCCCACGTCCCAAGATGAAGGTGTGCATTCTGGGCGATCAGCAGCATTGCGATGAAGCCAAGGCTAACGGCGTTGAGTTCATGGATGCTGAGGCACTCAAGAAGCTGAACAAGAACAAGAAGCTGGTGAAGAAACTGGCCAAGTCCTATGATGCTTTCCTTGCCTCCGAGTCGCTGATCAAGCAGATTCCCCGTCTCTTGGGTCCCGGCCTCAACAAGGCTGGCAAGTTCCCTGCCCTGCTGTCTCATCAGGAATCAATGATGGCCAAGATCGAGGAGGTCAAGTCCACCATCAAATTCCAGATGAAGAAGGTGCTGTGTCTGTCCGTCGCCGTTGGACACGTGGGCATGAAGCAGGATGAGCTCACCCAGAACGTTAGCTTGTCGATCAATTTCTTGGTCTCGCTGCTCAAGAAGAACTGGCAGAACGTGCGCTCCCTGCACATCAAGTCCTCCATGGGCCCACCCCAGCGTCTATACTAATTTTTTGTAAAGCCAATATCTTTTACAACAATTAAAATGTACATTTGATGAATGTAAAACAAATTGAAGTGTATTCTAGACTAGTCTTAATTTAAATTTCAGTAGAACTAATGGTTCTGGCGAGGAAATCCCGTAGGTCGCGTGCCAGCTCTGCCTGCGGAGAATTGTCTATTTGCGACTCGATTGGAGGTGCTTTGAATCTCAATACGTTCACCGTGTTGCCCCACTCGGGGTTGTGCGGCTCGCTCAGCTCCTCGAGCAGATTATGCAAAACTGTTGCGGCTGTGATTATGCAGGAGGCGGTCTGGAAGCTAATGTCTAGCGGCTGGCTGAGAAAGCGCCAGCGAGACATAAGGCGATGCATGGCGGAGTCGCTCAACTCTTGGAGGTGATCGGCCACTTCGTTGAAGTCGTATTCGTGCGGCGCCGTCGGCTCGGCGTAACGCTGCAGCAGCCAGGGCCGGAGCGGATAGTTTTGATTGGCTGGGGCCAGCACAAAGGCGGGCACCGAGCGTTGATTGATGCGACGGGCGGGTGACTGGGTCAATGCATTCGGTGCCACTGCAAACATGGGCGGAAGAGGCGGTTTGCTATTGCCACTGGCGTTATCCAGACGCAGCTCGCGGAAGAGCATGCGATCGTCTAGCAGAAACTCCATACGCAATGCGGAACCAGTCTCAGCTTGTTTTCCTTTCCCACGTAACGGAATGGAGCAGACACCCAGCACACCGAGCAGTGCTGGTGGCATGTTGCACTCCCGCCTGAAACCGGCCACCACATTGGCGCAATCCGCCTCGCTCTGGGGCAGCAAACGCAGCGCCTTGCCCAGGCTGGTCATCACGGCGTTGCAGAAGACCTTCAAGCATTTGATGGTGCGGGCGCGAGGCAGAGCAAACTGTTCTGAGATAATGGATATGCGCTCGCCGCTGGCCAGGAAGAATAGTGCAAGACCAACACATTTGTCGGGCGGAATCACTTCCGATTGCGACCTCAGCTCGGGCACCGAACGTAGGGTTGGCGCCAATTGGCCGCAAAGCGACTGGAATGTGCTGCGTGTCACGTGGAAGCTATCAAGAAACTGCTCTTCGCTATATTTCGGTACTTTATGCTCCCAAAAGAGCGTCGGGGCGTCCGAATTGGCCAACGAAACATCAGACATGCTGTTCTCTATATCAGCCTCCATTTCCTCGGCACTCTGCAGCTGTTTGTACTTCATGCGCAGCGTGACGAACATTTGAACATAATTGTACTGCAGCTGCATCATTTGTTGCATGAAAAAGGAGCGTAGATTTTTGAAACGATGTCGTGCTTGTTGCTGTCGACGTCGGCGATGCACGACGACGGTCTGCTGCAAGTGTCGCACATGTAGACGGATCAGTGTTGCGATTTTTGCTCTTTGCTGCTGCAAGTCATCATTCTTGCATTTTGCATTGGACTTAAGCAATTTTAATAAGACCTCGCTTAAATCACTGTTTATTTCCTTCAGTCCCTCATCCATTTTCCAGTTCAGTAGTGTGACCGAAATCAGTAAACGATTAGAAGCACAATAGTTGCTCGATGAGAAAATACCCAATACTTATCGATACACTGCTCAACTCAAGCGATAACATGGCATATAGACTAATCGTTTTTTGTAAACGCGGCAATCACAGTATTGCAGATAAAAATGAACTCAAGTTATTCGTTTAATTTTGATAGATCTGTTGAAGCCAGAAGCACATCTACACCTGTGAGCGTTTCGCTCTCGTCGTTGCACAGGGCTCTCATTGAATACGCAACAGTTTCTTCCCGATTGCTGTTTATACAGGATCCTGATGTGTACACAGATTTCCATCATCCCAACGAAAGATTTAATGAATATTCGAACGTGGAGCTATGCGAGATTATGCTGAAATCGGTTTTACCAAATGTGCACTTATACCAACTGCCGACTACGATAAAGGATCGCCTGAAATTGTTGGAGCTGAATCCGTGTTTCCAAAAAACACACCACGGGTTTCAGTACTCACCGAACCTCCTTGGGGTTCAATTTGTTTTACAGCCAAAGACTGATTTTAGCCTGCCCGAAGAACTGCCAACAATAATGGTGAGTTTTGGTGATTTAAAATGTTTTACATATTTGTTATCTTCTTATGGGTCTTGTTGACAGTCCGCACAGCGTGCCCAAACAGGTGGCACGACCTTCCAGAAGGATGCTCTGATGCGTGCCGGCAGTAGTTCCCATACCATGTTACTTGGCAACGATGCCCGTGGGCCCAAGTTTGAATTGAGCATGGATATTGCAGCACCCCTCTCCGCAATGCTATCCAACGACTGGGAACTATCTTCCAATGAGCTGCATCATACATGTAAAATCAAAAGACGTTTGCAGCGCGCCAAGTATAATTTCCAGGAGACTGGAAACGCCTCACCATATCGTACAAATCTCTTGCAACTTGTTGATAATATGGATATGTTTGATAAGCTCAAAAAACATCTGAAT